ATATTCCCAACTTATTTTTCTCCCTCCTCCACTCATGTGAAACTAGCATTTATTCCTTTGACAGAAACATTCTCCGAAAATAATTGCATGGAATTGTACAATTTACGGTTTCTTGAAACGGGTGCCTTCTAGCACTTTACGGTTTCCGTCATCAGCTCGCCATAAGTTAGTGTACTCACTTTGCACAATCTTCGTTTTAATCCCAGTTGAGCGAAGAATTGCCAATGCACTTGTCGTGATATACCATGCTATTAGAGAAGTTTTAATCGTGTGCTAATATTATGCAATAATACCTAACTCGTCTGACTGCAACATCTGTTTACGTGTATAGTCTCTCAATTTGCCGTCCCGGTCCAGTTCCTGTTGAGAGATGATTAATTATATTAATACGATTGATACCAGCCCAATGTTGAGAGACTATTAATGGTAGCGTGTGTGTGTGGCAGGTGCGCGTGATGTCGGAGCCGTCGAACGTGCCGCCGATGTGGACGCTGCAGTTCCTGGCGCAGGTGACGAAGGGCGTGTCGGCCGAGGTGGCGCCCGAGCCGTGGGAAGTGACGTTCCAGCAGCCGGCGTCCGACTACCTGGACTTCCGGCACCGCCTCGACACGGCCAACGTCTCCCTGGAGAACGTGATCGTGCGCGAGTCAGAGGAGGCCGTGGTGGGCACGGTGAAGGTGCGCAACCTGTGCTTCCAAAAGGAGGTGCTGGTGCGCTCCTCCTCCGACGGGTGGGCCACGCAGGAGGACGCCTTCTGCACCTACGTGAGCAACAACAACAACAACAACAGCGCGGCGGTGACGGCGGCGGCGGCGGGCTACGCCATCTACGACACCTTCTCCTTCCGGCTGACCCTCCCGCCGCGCTCGCGCCGGATCGAGTTTTGCGTGTGCTTCCGCTGCGAAGACGGCGCCGAGTTCTGGGACAACAACGCCGGCAAGAACTACGTGCTCGTCAAGAAGACGCCGGCGGACGCGCCGGCCAACGCAGGCGCGGCGACGCTGGCCGCCGTGGGCGTCGGCCGCCCCGACGCGAAAACGGCCGGTAAGTTCAACGA